CAACCAACTAATCCAGGAAGTCATTCAACTTAGTCAATTGATCTGACTTAAACACAATTAGGATTCAATATTTTACAATCCATTCCTTTAATCCGATAGGTTGGGTCTTAGCGTTTTGAGTTAAACTATCCCTAGTATGCTACCGTCCCATACCGGTGCATACAATCCTCAATATCTATGTAAATTACAACACATAAATAATAGTTTAGCAATTTACAGTTCAAAACCATTATCCAAAAAATTGCAAAAAGAGTGTCTAATATTTCAGCAATTAAAATCTAAGCGATAATTTATGTAATTGCAGAAAAAGGTTTAATATTTCAACAATTAGCATTCAAAGCATGCATAGATCAAAACTAATAAATAAATGACCCTATCATACATTTAAAATAATTTTTATACTCATACTATATCCCATTATATTGCTAAAATTAAGCCCAGCAATTAATTTCCTTCCATCCGTTAACAGCATAAAAAGTAGTTTAATTTTATACTGTTCGTCCCATTAACTTAGAGGTAAAGCTTAATCAATTAGAGGTCTTAATAACACCCAAAATTAACTACTTAATCCCTCTGTGAAGTCCCAGAATTAATCAGAACAATTCAAACCCTCAAACAATGTCAAACAGTGCGTCAAAACAATTCCAGAAAGTGTAAACTTGAGAGAGCCTGCTCCATAAACTTGGGAGCAGGCTCTTTTGTGCATGGAGCCGGCTCCATGCATCTTGGAGCCGGCTCCCACTTCCATGGAGCCGGCTCTCTCTCCCTCTGAGAGCCTCCAGTCCAGTTTCGTTCTGTTTCAGCCCATCTGTTTCGTCTCCGGCCATTCCAACCCCTTTGTTCCTCTTTAATACTGAACCTAAGAGTCTTATATAATCCCAGTAGCATCCCAATGGTTTGTTTACAATAGTTGAAAATAATTACAGTGACTACAACCATACTGATTTAACATGCTTAAAGAACAAAATTTAAACTCAGACATGCAAGAACTGTAACAGAATTGATTCAACGCATACAGATCATCAATATAACATATAATAAACATGTAAGTTTCAGTTAATGATGAATTAAACCCTAGAGACTGTCTAGGTGCACAGAACACAAGCCAACAGGAGAGAGGAAGAAAAGAACATGCCTGTGATTTCAGTAACGAAATCTCGGCGCCGTCTCTAAGTTTCAGGTAATACTGAACATCGTCAAGCCTCCTACTACTCCGGCTCTTCCCTTCTCCTAGGTCCGACATTTAAGCGGCAGCCGAACCTTACCGAACGTACTCTGTTTTCTCAAATCCTCTCTCTGTTTCTCTCTGTAGCTTTGGTACATGAATATGGTTTTGTTTTTAACCCTAGCAGATGTACTGTTCTATATATAAAGGTTAAACAAAACCCTAATCCATGTATAATTAGAGACAAAACCCTAACTAAATTCTAGTCGGCCCCTAGGACAACCTAAGTTATAATATATGGCAGATACACATACGTGACGTCTCAAAGAAAACCCTAAATAATTAACGTATTTAAAATACTCATTTAACTTATTTACATAAATAAACCATTATAATAAATCAATTAAGGACACATAATAAATAAAAACAATTTACCTATTAAATCAAATAATTCAATTAAATCAAATCATGCAAGTCAATCAAATAATCCAAATAAATCAAATAACTAAGTAACTAAACAATTAAATAATTAAAAATGAAACAAAATACTTAATTAAAATACCAAGACTATCCTTTTAAAATTAGGAATATTATACGTGCTGACATTATAGTTAGTAACAATGCGTTACTGCCATTTTTTATAGTATGACTAATCACTATTTATATATATATATATTATATATTTAATATTATGAGTAAAAAATTTAAAAACATATTTATTTTTTTGTTTGTTTGTATTTTTTTTAATGTCTATTTTTTTAATCACTTGAAAACTTTTTTTTATATTTGAATGGAATAGTATTTGAGTAAAATGTAATTTTTCATATTGTTTGCGATGAATTAAATATTGATTTTAATTTTTTTGTTTCACATATATTTGTTTCACTTTTTTTTTTTTTTTCCCTTTTCTCATATATTTGTTGACACATTTTAAAGAAAATAAATTCAAAAGGCAAACAAATAAAAATCATACATATTTTTAAAAAAAGAAAAATCGAATAATCAAAATCATAAATATTTTTTTTGCATTTTGTAGCCCATGAAATTTATTTTTTTTTTCAAATATTATAATTTATTTTTGTTAATTGACATAGCCGTTGCAAGTTAAAAAAAAAACGAAGAAGAAACATAGCCTTTCTAAAATTAAAAATACAGCCTTAGTCAAGAAATAAGTTATTGTTGACAATTAATTGCATGTGGGACCGTTTATGACTAGCAACAAGTATGTTACCTGCTGTGAGTGGCATTGCCCCGAGGGGGGCTGCCTTTTGCTATGCTTACATCATTACAAATTCTAGAAATATTGACTTCTAGCGGGCAAAAATCCCTCCTATACCGGCTCCTCTTAGATTCGTGCTTTGGCTAGCTACAAGACTCTCCAACCTTTGTTTCCGCGAAACCGGATACTCTATATTGTGCCATTGCTTCCATGGTCTGTTATGTGGTCGTGTGTTTTTATATTCCTTTTGCAATAATATTTCATCGCTTATACAACAATTAAGTTATATTAAGGAGTATTATTTTTTAGGATATCAATACAGTATGTTACAGGAGGATCTGCTAACTCAGAAGCTATTATGTTTTAACCTTTATTAGGATATTTTATGCACCTTATATATACTATTTTGATTGGCACAGCAAAAATCACCTTTTAGACATCAGTTATAATTGGGTTTTTTTTTTTTTTTTTTTTTTTTTCCCTTATATTTTAGTTTATTGTTCTACTTCAGCACAAGGTGGATTGTAGAACTAATATTGTCTTTTAATTTGATTCCACAAGGTGATGTTTGTTATGGAGCAAATTTCTTGACACAGAAATCTCACAATGATCTTGTAGATCTAAATCCTCCACATTACTAAATCACAGGCATTGGAAGGAGCAAATTACCGGTTAACATGAGCGGGGTATAGGAATGAAGGGTTTGTTGAAGTTCTTGATGCTCAGCAATGCCCAGGAAACCAAAACTGGTTCCTGGATAAATAAATACATCAAATTATTTTTTTACGGCCACAGCCTACATGTTTTCAGTGGTGAGAACAGAAAGCCTGAGGCATGAAAGGCCAACTATAAACGTTCTTCCGGTATCATGTTTTCGCTTAAAATTTTATGTTAAGAGTAGGATGACCAATTCTTTAAGTCGAGATGAGTTAGAATAGAATTGACATTCTTTAGATCCCAAAAAATCAAATGGTCAAGCTTTTTGTGTGAATGACATTCTAATGAAATCAGCATTCCAACTTTTAATTTGCTTACCAAACAAAAGAATCCATTCCATTTCCGCATACCAAAACTCCACACTGCCATTCAAGACATTAGGCATTCCAAAACTAAACTAACACCTGAACATGAATCCTTCCTAAAATGATTTTTACAAAGGTTTAATACCTGATCATAAACCACTTCACTATAACTGTTTTGACTCAAGCCGCACTCACAACAATTACACCAAAAAGTCGTTAATCATTCCTAAAATGATTGATTTACAACAACAAGAAGAAGGAAAAACTAGAATGCAATGGCGAATATACCGATCCTGTTCAAGAATGAGCTCCTTAACCTCACAGTTCTGCTATCCACCAATCTGTTCCCAACTTGGTCTATGATTGAAAAGCCATCAAAATTGAGATAGCAACTCCTCCATCAATATGACGCCTTGATGTAAACAGTCGAACTAACGTGGAGTGTGAACTTCATCATGCCACTGCACTAACTAGAGCTAGCCCACAAGGAGCTAAGTTTGGCTGCAAGCTTTGCACTCTTGTAGTCCTCTCTAAGCTGGATAAACCTGAATTTACAGTCAATTCAAAAGTTTACCATCTCATAAAGGGAATATGGGTACACGAGGAGACAGTCGCCAACTAAGAAAAGAATAGATAATTTATAGACATCAAAGGTGTGATTTCATTGTCATTCTTCTTCTTCCCCCTAACACATTACTGATACAAGTTGTGTACCTAAAAACCCTAACTGCAGTATGTGATTCCTTCCTGAAGCATTCAGCTATGGACTATAATTGTAGTTGAACGTGAGTAAATCAACCCATGATTTTTCCTAAAGTTGTATTGTTCACAAATTAAGGACCCGTTTGGCATGCGCTTTGTTTTTGGCGTTTTGTTTCTGACAAAACAGAAATAATGTTTTTGTTGTAGGAGTGTTTTGGAAAAAATTTGGAAGCACGTTTGGAAATTATGTTTTGCTATGAAAATGTCAAAAACAAAAACATGCAAACCATGTTTGGTCACTCTATCTGTTACAATTTCACATTTTATGAAATAATAAATTTATATCATTAAATTTTATAATTTGTTTATAAAAATGTCTAAAAAGCACATTTTAATAATTCAAATATTGTCAATATTTTTTCATATAAAAGCTCTAATTTTTTTGTTTGCAGTAACCTATTTTCAATTTTATTATTCTGTTTACAAGTTGTTTGCAAGAGATCTGTTTCAGTCATTATCTTCACAAATATTTATAACTAAAATTCATAAAATAAAATAAAAATCATATAAAAAAGATCATAATTAAAACAGATTTAGCCCAAAAAAAAAAATTTCAATAGATTAATTGATTTAGCCAAAAAAAAATAAAACAAGAATTACAGACCTTGATTTCAAATTGATTTAGCCAAAAAAAATTTATTTCCATAGATTAATTGATTTAGCCAAAAAAACAAATTAAAACAAGAATGACAGACCTTGATTTCAAATTGATTTAGCCAGAAAAAAAAATTAAAACAAGAATTACAGACCTTGATTTCAAATTGATTTAGCCAAAAAAAAAATTATTTCCATAGATTAATTGATTTAGTCAAAAAAAAAATTTAAAACAAGAATTACAGACCTTGATTTCAAATAGAAAAAAAATTAAAACAATCTGAAATGATACGCCGACATGGGTTTTGAGAGTTGAGACCTTGATTTCAAATAGAAAAAAAATTAAAACAATCTGAAATGATACGCCGACATGGGTTTTGAGAGTTGAGAGACAGCGGGCAGCGGCGGAAGCTTGCGAACGGCAAACTGGAACTGGAACAGCGGGCGATGGAAACTAAAAGATATGGGTTTTGATTTTTTGAGCAATCTGAAATGATATGCCGATATGGATTTTGATAAAGGTTTGAACTTTTGATTCTTGTAGATAGATAGATAAATTGAAGTAAATGGGTTTTGAACTTCTGATTCTTGTGGACTACAGTAGTTTACAGTTGCAGAGACAGAGATGGCAAGTTCAGAGTTGAGAAGAAGAATAAAGTTGGAGGCGATTGGGGATGCTGAGATGATTTTGTGAGTCGCCCAAAATCGCCCAAATAGAAGCCGCACCCAAAACCCTAGAAAATGACAAATTTTGCCTTTTATATGTGTTTCCTCCGCTACAGTTAAATGAGCAAATTGTTTCATCCGCCACAGTGTAATGTAGCCCAAACAGTACAAAAACAACTAAAAACACCAAAATGGTGTTTCATGTTTTGGGCCCATTTTTGAAATTGTTTTGTTACTGTTTAAAACACAACAAGCCCAACCAAACATGTTTTGGGCTTGAAAGGGGTTACTGTAGCAAGCCTAAAACAAAGCAAAACACATGCCAAACAGTCCCTAACAGTTGATATAAGTTAATAGCGTCAGATTTTCTATAATGCATTTTAATTAGTGGAAAAACTGTGCCATAGAAATGAAGTCATTATGTTCTACGAAAATTCTGCAGTCAGTGCTACTGATTTTGGGTTTTAATATATAAAAAATCGCCAATTTTACATTTACCTCTGTGCATCTTTCCGAATACTTGGGGTACCCTCAAACAGGGTGGACAGACAAAGCTGCCTAATATAAACATAACTTATGTACCATTTAATCAAGTGTAACCTTGGCAATGTAGAACCAACTCACAGGCAAGGAGTTCAGGTATTTGATCTAAAAAGAAGCTAGCAATGTTTTCTTAAGTGTTACCTTCAATCTCCAAGTCACCACACCCCACAACACGTAGGTCTCTAGCAAGTTCCTGCGTGTTCTCATATGGCACTGCTAGCACTCTAAGATACTGAAGCATCAGGAAAACACAACTGGGGTCAAAGTCCAACTTTAACATAATTGATGTAGGTATTAAAGAGCAATTGCAGCCTCAGTAATCAACTCACTAACAGAAGTCCGCCTTCTTCCATAGGAGGTGGATTAACAAGAGATGGTTTCTGCAACAGTTTGTCAAGAAGTGTGGTAACTCGCTGCACGAAAACCGCAGGAGGAAACTCGTCAGTATTGTAACATTACCAACCAATATGATCCTAGTATCTTTACTTCATTTGAATGCATTGCCACTAAATACATACAGAACAGAAAAGAGAATAAGTGAGTTGAAGATCAGATACCTGAACCAAAATTGACATAACATCATTTGCAGAAGGGAATACAGCCATTATTGTGGCCGCTTCTTTACGAACAGTGTCTGTAGGTCAATCATTACAAGTACATTAAATTCATTGAGTCCTAACACCCTTTCATTGAGATAAATTCCAAGCCTTCAAACCTGTGATTTCTTTGTACAACGAAGAAAGCCCACGTGCAACATTGCTAGGACTAGGTAATGTACCCTGGTCACCAAGAACCAATCTAGTGTCTGCATTCATGACCCCCACGTCAATAAACATTGGACGCGTTGCCACATAATGTTGCATAGCACTTGTTCCCTATTAAACTGCATTGTAAAAGGAAAAAAACAAGAAGGTAAGAAGGTGTACAAATTACCAAGATTTCTTTATCGTCGAACCAGTTTCATCCTTAAACTAGATGGGGTATAACTCGAAATGATCTGCTTATAATGATGGATGTATCAAAAACGCTTGATCCTATCCAAAGAAAATTGCAGAGAAGTAACAACAAAAAGATTTAGGGAATCCCCTCGTTCACAAGAAAAAAAAAAAAAAAAAAAAAAATTAAGAAATTCCACAGCCAAAGATACAAACTACCATTGAATAGATGCAAAAGACATTGTTGGAGACTCCATTCATCTAACTCTGAGCCAATATGTAGCAGAAGCGGCCTTGAACAAGGCCAATTTTATCATTTAAATGTAAGAAATTCTTCTAAGGTGAAATGCCTTGAGCATAAATCTGGAGCACAAATAGCACTTTCCTAAAAATATCCATATTAGTTATGAAAATATGTGTTCATCAAGCTCCATTTTTGTCTTGTCACACATCCATCTCAAAATTCTCATTTCTGTCACATCCATCACTAAAGAAGAAAATAACAATAAATGTGCATAGATTGAACTTTTTTCTTCAAGTCAAACACAAATGACTCAATTGTCAATGAAACACGAACTCGGCCATGTATCATCTTTTACAGCTGTTTCTAACCAAAATGAGCAGGCTGGATCTCATCAACAAGCAAGTCCCATCTAAAAACTTTACCTGGTGAAAAGTTACAATGAATAAAGAATTATAGACTATGTAGTACTACTATATTAGAGTGGATGGTTAAAAACTTGTAAAATAGTTGCAGGCAAACTCGGTGAAAAAAAAAAAAAAAAGCCCAGAAGCATTTGATTACATTGATTTCAGAACAAAACCGTCTTCTCAACGACGACGTAGATATAGATCTGGACATTAATACCAACAAGTGTCAACTAAGAGCTACTAATCCCATCAGCCAATGTGTGCATCTGAGAAATGCATGTTCATAGTTTCTTTGCCAGGCACTTGCCAAGCCCCTGGCTGGCACAAGTCAACTCCCACGTAAGCTCTTTGTTTCACTGACTGACTTGTTAATACACCAACCAAAGAAACAAGTGCACAAATCAACCCGGTATAAATGTATTAATTCACATTAACTCTTAGTCTTTTACAAGCTCGAGATTTAGCTTTCTTAAATTTGGGGATCTTTGTGGTTTAAATGCTTAAAAGAGTTTTAAGGCCTCAACAGTTATGGTGTATTTAGGGTTCTAATAAATTTAGGGTTGCGTTCAAATTTTAGAGCTAGGGGTTTAAAGGATTCTATATTTAGGCTTTGAATTCTTTAGTTTTTTAAACTTCAAGTTTAGGGTTTCTTTTCCTTCTCCAAAAATTTTTGGTTTCGCATATGGGTTTTTCTATGGTTTATGACAAAGTGTAAGATAATATAGTTTGAGGGTAGTTTTTCAAGTGAAATGAAAAACATATTAACAATGCATTAATGCACTTTCATATATTTTTATAGAATTTTGCATCCATTAGGAGTCTATTGAATTACCGATTCCCTTCAGGGTACATACCTAAAAAAAGTTACTACCATTCCAAATACAGCCCCAAAACATTTAGTCAGTCAAAAATAGCTTGTTTCCTGGAAAAGAACATTGCGCATATAAAAGAAGCTACCTGTTAAATTTCCACAAATCAAATAATTTCAAGTGATCCAAATAATAGGATTTAAAAAATAAATAAATAAAACGTGATACTTTATATTTCTCAGGCACTCAGCACATGACATGATACATATGCCAATATATGTGACTCAAAGTTGACAACATTAAATACATCTACAATCAAGGCCTGGTATATTTTTCCTTTTTAAGCATACTTTTTGGTTCCCTAGCATGAAATTTGCACAACATTTACAAATACAACCATAGTAAATCTAATTAACCAAAGGGTAATATGAAGTTCACATAAATTACCTGAGATAAAATTTTAGTGCACTCTGCCATAGTAGACAATTCTCTCCTCTGTGAGGCTGCATCAAATCGAGCCAACAATCTATTCTCCAATTCTACACAAATGATAAAAGGCAAAAAAGCTCAACAATATGTCAACTTACAATAAATATCCTTAAAAAAAACAAGGGACTTAAGGAGGCTACCCTTCCAAATCCTAAATGTTTGCACAGATGATTTTACAAGAATAGGGACATCCACACCCTTGAAGCCTTGAAGCCTTGAAGCCTCACTCCACACCCTTAAAGCCTCACTCCACACTCCTTGTGTGACTTGCTAGGGCCCGAAACGAGCCCAACACTTCCTCTTCCTTTCTATAATTAAGCATAGCCAAATGCTATTAGAATCATGCGGATGGAGAAAGTGATATATATATATATATGTAGTGATCATTTTTATGATTATGCCCTGCTGCATAAATGCATGGTAAAAGATGGTCAATTAACACGATGACGGAGATTACGACTAATTCAAATGACTCCCAGGCAATGTGAGAATCATAACAATTTTTTTGGTGACACTTTTGAGATGCAAAAGATCCAAGAGCACTTCTACTGTGTTTAAGGTAGAATTCTGAATAACAAAGGGTACCACAATACCTATGTGTGCGTGCATGCAGGTACATGTACATTTGGTGGTGTCTTTTAGTTTATACAATAACACTACTGTGTGTTCACTTTTTAAGGTTTTTGAGTAATTCACTGTTCAAAAAAAGAATTATGTGCACCAATTAGCAATTGAACACAATTTCAGATAAAAGTGTCTTTAGTTAGACCTTCAGTATTTCAAGCCTACTATACAGATCAAGGAACCAGTCTCTCCTTTAGTTACCTCTGTAATCTAATTACATAACCCAAAATCAAGGTTACAAAACTTATGTCATCATTTAGTAGCTGCTACAGAAAAGTTGACAAGCGATTCATATCTGATAACAACAAAGTGTATCATACGAGCTTACCAGGTCTGACCTTGTTGGTTACACAAAATTGATTTGATGCCTTCCTGATATGCTTAGCTGTAACTCCTTTAGAATGTCTCGCATCCATTTTCTTGCTCACCCAGCTGAGGTGCTGAAACTTCCCAAGCATCTGTCAGAAGCGCCTTTCAGATTTTCAAACACTTCCATACGAGTACCCTTCACTCTCCGAACATCAGCGTAATACCTTCTTACTGCCCCTTCTCTTCTCATGAAGTTGTGTTTGAGTAACTGGAGCCACACACCTAAGGGAACTTTTGGGTTAAAAATCAGTGCTTAAACCATTGAATGATATGCAGCAAACTGAAAATTCTCAATCTTTTAATTCTTTCGGAAGATCAATGAAATAAGTTTTTATTCATCACAAAATCTCATTCCATTTCATTTGCCTCTAAACCTGACAATGGTTTAGCCATACTATTCAACATTAAGTAAACTTTTTTCATTTGTGGGTGAGATGCATCTCCAACTACGAACTCATGGACATTGCCATTAACCTCAATTGAACTACACCCAGGTGCCTTCTTGACTCCTAGAGCTTTCATATTGTGTCTCACTTTCGTCACGTCTTCCCATCTGTGAGCAGAAGCATAGATATTGGCCAGAAGAGTATGGACACTGGAATCATTAGATCCAATTTCCACAAGCCTTTGAGCCACACGTTCACCCATATCAACATTACCATAGATTCTGCAGGCACTCAGCAAAGCACCATAAAGTGGAATTATAATCTCATTATTTTTGTCTGGTACATCTTCGATCAATCCCTCCGCTTCATCTAATAATCCAGCACGACCAAGGAGGTCAATTAGACACCCATAGTGTTCTAACTTTGGTTCAATTTGATACATCTCTCTCATTGAATTAAAGTACCAACGGCCTTCCTCTACCAGTCCCCCATGACTGCAAGCACTTAAAACACCAATAAATGTGATATCATCAGGTTTAAATCCAGCTTGTTTCATACCTGAGAACAGTTCTAGTGCTTTTTTGGTTTTGCCATTCATGGCAAGTGCACAAATAATTGAAGTCCATGAGGCTGTGTCTTTCTCTTTCAACCCATTGAAAATGTCCAAAGATTTCTCTATGCAACCACATTTTGCATACATATCTACTAGAGCAGTACCAACAACCGCATCAACTGTGATTCTGTTTTCATCTATGTAACCGTGGATCCATTTACCTTGTTCCAGAGCTCCCAATTGGGCACAGCCCGTAAGGAGAGCAACCACAGTGAATTTATCAGGCTTAACCCTTTGGATTTGCATCTCCCGAAACAGAGCTAGTGCCTCATCAACACGGTTGAACTGCACATACCCGTTAATAATAGCCGTCCAAAGAATAATATCCTTAACTGGACTTCTCTCAAACAACTCCCTAGCTTCATCCAACTGACCGCTGTTCACATACCCAGACACCATACTTGTCCAACAAATCACATTTTTCTCTGGCATTGCATCAAAAATTTGTCGGGCTATACTTAAACATCCACACTTGGAGTACATATCCAACAAGGCATTGCCAATTATAGTGGTAAATCCGAGCTCATGGCTAACATACCGGTGAATTTCTTTACCAAGTTCCAAAATTTTCAATTCTGTACAGGCCGAAAGAGTACTTACAACCGTAGCTTCTTCAGGCTTCAGATTACTTTCTCGTTTCATACGCCGAAAAACATCAACAGCATCCTCAAATCTGTTACATCTAACATATCCAGAGATCAAGACATTCCAAGAAACCACATCTCTCTCAGGCATTTCATCAAACAACTTCTTCAATTTCGCAACATAACCCAGTTCTGCATACATGTCCATGAGTGAGTTACAGACATAACAATCAAACTCAACCCCACTCTTTACAACAAACCCATGAACTTTTTCGCCTATTAAAACCTCCCGCAAGCATCCGATGGCCTTGAAAACAAAGGGGTAGGTGAAATTATCTGGCCACAAACCGTGCATCCTCAATTGATCAAACAAAAAAAGAGTTTTTCTAAAGCTACCTTTCTTGGCATATGCTTTGATCATTACATTGTAAACAAACAAACTCGGGTCTTCAATGTAATCAAAGATCTTCTTGGCATAGGATAAGCTTCCAAGAGATGGGTGTGTACAGAAGACCATGAGCTTGCTGAGGGTGTCTTTGTTTTGGTGTACACCGATCCTGAAAACTTGGGTTTGGATTTGTTTGAGTTGTTTCATGGACTTGCAGTTTCTAAGGATGTCTATACATGCTTTCTTGGTGAGTCTCGTGAAGTATGAGTTGGTAGTAGTTGACAAGTGAAGTGGTTTTGATAGGAATTGGCAGGAAATAGACTTCAATAGCACAAACTTATGTTGAGAGATCATGTGACCTTGCTCTTGTTGTGCCTTGCCTAGAATGAGCTGAGAGGCCACGCCTTCTACTTATCAGCTGCTTGATTAGGCCACCAGTCAGGACTCACCCTTCTATTATTTTTTATGCCAAATTGACCCTTACACAAAATCAAGATTACAGTTCATTTTCGTTTGCAAAACAATAATTACAGAAAAAATTTAAGACAAAACCCATACATACAAGTTAGCAGTTGCAGAGAGAGAGAGGGGGGCAAGCTTGAGAGTTGAGAGACAGCGGCTGAAGCTTGCCAGCGGCGAACCCGAACTGGAACAGCGGGCGATGGAAACTGAAAGATATGGGTTTTGATTTTTGAACAATCTAAAATGATATACCGATATGGGTTTTGATATAGGTAATAGGTTTTGAACTTTTGATTCTTGCAGACAGATAGATAAACTGAAATATATGGGTTTTGAACTTCTGATTCTTGTAGTTTGCAGTTGCAGAGAGAGAGGGGGCCAGTTCAGAGTTGAGAACGAGAATAGAGATGGAGGCAAATGATTTGCCCTAAATAGGATTTAGTTTGCAAAACAAGAATTACAGACCTTGATTAGTTGATTTAGAAAACAATTTAAAACAAAACCCATACATGTCAGTTAGCAGTTGCAGAGAGAGAGAGGAGGCAAGCCTGAGAGTTGAGAGACAGCGGCTGAAGCTTGCGAACGGCGAACCCGAACTGGAACAGCGGGCGATGGAAACTGAAAGATACGGGTTTTGATTTTTTGAACAATCTGAAATGATACGCCGATATGGGTTTTGATATAGGTAATAGGTTTTGAACTTTTGATTCTTGTAGACAGATAGATAAACTGAAATATATGGGTTTTGAACTTCTGATTCTTGTAGATTTTGTGGTTTGCAGTTGCAGAGAGAAAGAGAGAGAGGGGGCAAGTTCAGAGTTGAAAACGAGAATAGAGATAGATGGAGCCGATTGGGGAGGCTGAAATAATTTGCCCTGATTTTTTTTTTTTTTTTTTTTTTCTGGAGGCCCATCATTCTTGGGCCTATAAATTTTGAGGCCCATAAATAATTGTTTCTGCATTATATTTGTGAGAAGTTTATATAATTTATTACTAAAATAATTGTTTCTGCATTCTATTTGTGAGAAGTTTATATAATTTATCACCTAAATAATTGTTTCATATTTTTGATACATTTGTCACATAAATATTATGTAGCTCTCTAGTCCATCTTTTATTAGTAACTTTTAATTTAACTCATTTGTATTAAAATAGTAACATTTCTTTTGCTTATCTAACGTACATTTCTTTTGCCTATCTAACATATAAGCTACAAGTATAACATGAATTCAAAAGAACAATAATGCTTTTATCAAATTATTATTTATTTTTATTTTACATAGTTAAATCTATAAATTTATCTTTTAAAAAATAAAAGCCTATAATAATAAATTTATTAAAATAGTTTTCTTTCCTTTCTTTTCCCAAACGTGATTATTATCCTTTTATATCTTTTCTTTCATTAATCAACCAAATACAACAAGGGGGTTAAAATTATCCATCAATTCTCTTAACCTTGTAATTAATGTTATCCTTTCTTTTATTTCTTATCGTACCAAACATAGCCATAGGACAACCAATATAGCATTAACAATACCGACTTAACTATGTATGCGTCAGCACACTTAGTAACAATGTGTTACTACCATTTTTTAAAACGATGACTAATCACTAATTATTTTTTTTTTCTTTATATATTTAATATTTTGAGTAAAAAATTAAAAACATATTTATTTTTTTGTTTGTTTGTGTTTTTTTCAATGGCTATTATTTTAATCACTTGAAAACTTTTTTATATTTGAATGGAATTGTATTTGAGTAAAATGTAGTTTTTTACATTGTTTGTGATGAATAAAATATTTTTTTTTTTTTTTTGTTTCTCATATATTTGTTTCCTTTTTTTTTATCCTTTTCTCATATTTTTGTTGACACATTTTAAAAAAAATAAATTCAAAAGCCAAACAAATAAAAATCATACATATTTTTTAAACAATTAAAATTGAATAATAGAATTATCAAAATTATAGATTTTTTTTTTTTTTTTTGCATTTTGTAGCCCATAAAATTTATTATTAATTTTTTTCAAATATTATAATTTATTTTTGTTAATTGACATATCGGTTGCAAGTTAAAAAAAAGAAGAAGAAACAAGAAACATAGCCTTTCTAAAATTAAAAATATAGCGTTGCAAAGAAAGAAGCAATTGTTGACAATTAATTGTATGTGGGACCGCTTTTGACTAGCAACAAATATTATACATTTTTTAAGAATAATTTCACAGATATTTTTTAAAAATAATTATCAGTTAAATTTATTTTTGTTTTTTCGTTATTGTCTCCGTTAAAAATATTAAAGAATATATATTTATTTTTAATTTTTTAATTACATTTATTCTAAAATATCATATAACCTAAATGACTATTATATCCCTAATTCTCTCTCCTCTATCATACTTCTGTCTCTCTATCATGCCCCTGTCTCTCTCTCTTCTTCTCTACAGATACAGCTCTACAAGCCACCTATTAACAAAAGTTATAAAACCACTCTCTTCTCTACAGGTACAGATTAACAAAATCTCTACTCATTCTTATATTTTCATGGACAAGAATTATAAATGGATTAAAAAATTAATTCGACACCAACAATCTCACACATCTAATCTCAGAACCGAGATTATTGGTTGGGTCTGTCTGAAGCTTTTCCGGTTGATGTCGCTGAGGCTCTAAACTCTCTCTCATTGGATCTCGGTTGGATCACCTTGATAAACAGATGAGGGTTGAAGCCTTCAGTTGTATCAGTGAAGAGGTTTTCGCCGGTGGTCATGGAGTCTGTTTGTGTATATTACAAGGACCCTAGTACTGTAGTTCACAAAAACTCAATAATGGATAAAATAAAAAAATAAAAAAATTAAAAAAAAATCAAGGGGTGTGTAAAATACCAAAAACCTTTATTTAATTGCTATTTTAAGGCTTATCATGGGTTTAATTTGAAAAGGAAAAGCTTGAGGAATGTTAGAATGGTGGGATTAGGGCGCGATGTTGGCGAATGTAAAAATGAGGAAAACGGATACGGCAACCGCGGGGATGGCAAGCACGCGTATGGTAGTGGAGATGACAACATGGGAAACTGCAATTGAGCCACCGAAGCCGATATTGGGATTGTGTGGGCGGTGGCGGCGACGGCGATGGCGAAGGATGTCTGTGTGGGTGGCGGCGGCGGCGGATTTCTCTGTGTGTGTGTGTATATATATATATGTATATATGTCTATGTGTAATGTCTATATATATCTATATATATATATATGTCTGTGTATATATATATATGTCTCTGTGTATATTCTTTCATTATTCCCTAATGTCATCTTTCTCAAGAGTCTTTATTGAAATCCACAATTTTAGAGCCCGAGCGACATCAACCGGAAAAGAGTGAAGAGGAGAGAGGAAGGTGATTATGAACAATATATCCCAAAATGGGTTTCGGCCCAGGAGGGAGAGAGAGAATTATGTCGGGGTATTTTATATATATTAGGAAAAGGCATTAATAAAAATTTATTTTATATTAATAAATAAAAATTAAAATATTTTGAAATTGGTGATAAAGTTTAAGTTTCGTAAATTAATAAATTTTTTTATATTTTTATATTAATACTAAATATGTATATTTTATTTTTTATTTTAATAGTGAAATATTTGAGTTTTGCAAAGTAAAAAATTTTTTTAAGTAATTTAAATTTTATTAGATAATTTGTAATTTGAATTTTATTAGATAATTTGAAATTTAGTATAATTTTTAATTTACAATATAAATTTAATTATATTAATTTTTAATTAAATTTTAAAATAGAAATTCAATTATACTAATTATACATTAGATTGAAATTGATATAAAAATTTATTATATGGAGTTTGTGGTTTTTGGAAGACTCTAGGTTATATTTTATTTTCTTTAAATATATAATTTGTGGTAGAATTTTATAGAAATTATTTTATTTTATTAAGATATACCTTTGTAAAATTAGATTTTCTTTTATTAAAAAATTCATAAAAAATAGATAAATACAAGGGTTATATACTTATATGCGATAGAGTTCTTTTTTTGTATTAATTAATAAATTTTTTTATATTAAAAAATAAATACTTAAATGTTCAAATTCTTTAACATTTATATTTTATTTATATGTATTATTATATTATTATATATTTTCTTTAAATATATCCATGTCTAATGTGATAGAGTTGTAGAAATTGTTTTATTTTCTTTAAATATATCCTTATTTAATTAAATTTTATTTTATTAGAAAACTTATAATAAATAGATAAATATAGGTTATATGCGATAGAGTTTCAAAGAAAATAAAATACTTAATTTGTGGTAAAGTTTTGGTAATTTGTATTAGAGTTTTATAAAAACTATTTAAATATATCCTTATCTAATGTGATAGAGTTTCATTGCAAATAAAATAGGTAATTTGTGGTAAAATTTTATATAAATTATTTATTTTCTTTAAATATATATATCCTTGTCTAATTATATTTTTTTTATTAAAAAACTCATAATAAAAGATAATTTGTGGTAGAGTTTTAGAAAATTTATTTTATTTTTTATACCAATTATTAAATATTTTTTATATTAATAATTTTTGTCTAGTTATATTATATTTTATTAAAAAATTCATAACAAATACATAAATAGGTAATTTTTATTAGAATTTTATATAAGCTCTTTTAAAAAAATATTTTATTTTCTTTAAATATATCGTTGTCTAATTAGATTTCCTTCATAAAAAAAACTCATAATAAATAGATAAAAACAAGTTATATATGATAGAGTTTTAAAGAAAATAAAATAGATAATTTGTGGTAGAGATTTATAGAAATTATTATATTTTCTGCAAATCTATTTATAATAAATAAATAAATAACTAATTTGTGTTACAGTTTAATAGAAATTCTTTAAAAAACACTTTTTATATCAATTAATAAATATTTTTTTATATTAATAATTCTTCTCTAATTAGATTTCCTTTTATTAAAAAACTCATAACAAATAGATAAATAAGTAATTTGTATTAGAGTTTTATAGAAACTTTTTTCAAACCTCTTTTTATATTAATTAATAAATATTTTTTTATCTTAATAATGCTTGTCTAATTAAATTTTCTTTTATTAAAAAACTTATAATAAATAGATAAATAGGTAATTTGTGATATAGTTTTATAGAAACTCTTTTAAAAACTCTTTATAGATCAATTAATAAATAATTATTTATATTAATAATACTTGTCTAATTATATCTCCTTTTATTAAAAAAACACTTAATAAATATATAAATAGAAATTTTGAGTTAAAATTTTATAGAAACTCTTTAAATATTATATCTTTATCTATTGTGATAGAGTTTTATGAAAAATAAAATTTGTGATTTGTGATAGAATTTTATAAAAATTATTTTATTTTCCTTAAATATATCTTTGTTTAATTAGATTTAATTTTATTAACAAACTCATAATAAAAGTTAATTTATGGTAGAGTTTTAGAAAAATTGTTTTATTTTATACATCAATTAATAAATATTTTTTATATTAATAATTCTAGTCTAATTAGATTTTCTTTTATTAAAAAATTCATAAAAATAAATAGATAAATAGATTAACTTAAATTTTATTAGATAGATTTTAGAGTTTGATTGACATTTTTTTTTTCTTTTAATAAAAACTCTTTGCATATTAATTAATAAATATTTTATTTTATAAAAATAGATAGTTAAATACTGAAACTCTTTGCACATGTAATAATACTATAGATAAAAACTTTTTTTATATCAATTAATAAATATCTTTTTATATAAATAATTAAATACTTAAACACCTTGGCACAACTTCTGTATTTTACTCAGAAAATTA